GTGCTGGTGGGCTGGCTCGCCCCCTCCCAGTGAGGAGGTGGGGTGTGGGGGAAGGGTGGGAGGATTGTTCCCTTACCTGGCTTTCTTGAGGTGGTTTGGAGGCAGGTGAGAGAAATTCAGATTTTGGGAGTGGGGGCAAGCCCCCCCCCCCGTAGAGGAAGGACTGTGAGGCCTAACTAAGGGAACCGTTTGTAAAAATTACAGCGGTCGCCTGGATTGGGTCTGGATTTGCACCCAGTGAAGGGATGTTTGGGAAGTTGCTCTCCTTATTTGGCAAGTGTGATGATGATGATGATGATGATGATGATGATGATGATGATGATGATGAAAACTGTTATACACATATGCACAGAAGATAATATGGGGTATGAAGCAATCTCAGAAGTTTATACCCAGAAACTCTTGCTGGTCTTCGAGGTGCTACTGGACTGGAATCTAGCCCTCTCCAGCCGATAATATAGTTTTTGTTGAATAAGGAAAACTGATACCCAGAATTAAACGGTGTTGGTCTTAAAGGTGCCACTGCACTCAAAACTCTGAATAACAATAGTTTCAGTTGCTAGTGGTGTTGGTGTCCTGGTTAAGTGCGCGGGTTCTAATCTGGGAGAGCCGGGCTTGATTCCCCACTCCTCCATTTGCAGCTGCTGGATGACCTTGGGCAAGCCGTAGTTCTGATAAGAGCTTTTCTTGGAAAAAGAGCAGTTTCTGTCAGACCTCTCTCAGCCCCACCTACCTCACAAGGTGTCTGTGGTGGGGAGGGGAAGGGAAAGGAGTTTGTAAGCCTCTCTGAGACACCTTCGGGTAGTGAAGGGTGGGTTATAAATCCAAGCTCTTCTTCTTCTATATGTCCTCCCGCTCCTGTGCAGACAGGAATTGTTCAAATGCCTCGATTGGCTAAACGATAAAAATATATTTGTCAACTGTGGATTTCATGCACAGAGAAGGGAATAGTGGGCATGCATTTTTACTGTTTTGTTTGTGTTATTTGTTAATAAACTCTAGGGAAGGTGGGAGCCTATGTTTTCATTTATGTCATATACTAAGTGATGATGGTTAATTTGTCTCCCACCCTCACACAGGTGAGAAGAGCCCCCTGCTCGCCTGTTGTGGGGCTGGTGTGCATGTAAGGCAGGACAATTCTTTGTATGGAGACATCTCAAAGTGACAGTCAGAGGTAGTTGTTTCAGTCCAGCCCCACGTCCAGAAACAAAAGTCAGCTAGTGTCATTGCATGGCTTTTTTTGAACCGATAGGGCAATCCTGCCCTCTTTCACTCCCCTGTTCACAAAGCGGAGAGAGCGGAACGGATTTGGCCTAGATTGCGCGTGGCTTAATGGTTACTGGTTTCCTGTCTCAGATACAAATGGCTTACAGGAGTGATATGTTGTCCTGTAAAATGAACCTTAGACTTTTCCACTGCACATGCCGTCTTGATGCCTTGGGATTACGTAGAAGGGTTCCCATAACAAAAATACAAGTAGAATTCTCTTCTTAGGAATCTTCACAAAGTTCTTCAAAAGGAGGGGGGAGTGTCCCAAAGCTTGGCACAGAACAGGTATCGCTTTTGACCTTCTCTGCCCTAAAGGAAAGGGGAGATTTGGGGGGATAGGGAGGCATCCTCTTTCTCATTCTTGCCGGACTCTAATCTGGGAGAACCGAGTTTGATTTCCCCACTACTCCACATGCAGCTGCTGGTGTGACCTTGGGTCAGTTACAAGTCATTTCAGAGCTGTTCTCTCAAGGGCAGTTCTAGAAAGAGCTGTCTCAGCCCCACCTACCTCACAGGGTGTCTGTTGTGGGGAGGGGGAGGGAAAGGAGATTGTAAGCCGCTCTGAGACTCCTTCGGGTAGTGAAGGGCGGGATATAAATCCAATCTCTTCTTCTGGAGTGAGAGCAGCCTTCCAAATAGAAAATCCATGCAATGAGCTCCCTTATGGGTAGGGACTGAAGCACCCTATCCTTACATGTGCAGAGAGGCTGTTCCAGGTGGATATAAACTAGGTCAAATGGGATGCATACGGGCATGGCTAAGCAGGGCTTTTTTTCTGGGGGGACGCACCGGAACAGAGTTCCAGAACCTCTTCGACCAAATTCTTTTAAAAATGTTTAAAAGTTCACGAGTATACAGATTTGCAAACTTCATTTCTCTCTTGAGAGTTCCGGCAGCTCTTCTTCAAAAGGAAAAAAGGCCCTGGCTCTGTGTGTCCGTCTCCTGTTACTCTTGTGTCGCCGTGCCTTCTGTTTTGCTCCCCCTCGCTCTACATTGTGAGCTCTTCAGGGCATCATGTCTGTTTGGTGCTCGTTTTGTTACTTCAGTAAAGTTCTGCGTATACTGTTGGTGCTGTATGCAAATGAATAATCACCTTTTCCGACTCTATGTGGTGGTGGGAGGTGCCGTCAGGGCTCAGCTGACTTATGGGGACCCCCGTGGGGTTTTTAAGGCAAGAGAAGGCCAGAGGTGGTCCGCCATTGCCTGCCTCTGCATCACGACCCTGGTATTCCTTGGAGGTCTCCCATCCAAATACTATCCAGGGCTGACCCTGCTTAGCTTCTGAGAGCTGAAGAGATTGGACTAGCCTGGGCTATCCAGGTTGGGGTGACTCGATGCGAATGTACTGTTGCTATGTGTGTATGGAATATCTGGTGCATTTCCCTTCTGTGGACAGGGAAACAGGAACCTAGACAGTTCCCTTCCTATAGATGTAACCCCCCCCCCAAGTGTCCCACCATAGGTTGGATTAGTATCCTTTTCTGCCGCTCCATATGGATGGGAGAAGAGAGTGCCAGCCCTACCAAACAAGTGGGGGGGGGGGAGTTGTCCCAAGAGTGGATGGTATAGCCATCTCTGCATGTGAAACTTGGGGACGTGGCCACGGGAGTGGTGGGGGATCCTTATACACAAGGGACTAGTGGGGCAATTCTTTTGCAACAAAAAGTTAGGGTAGCTCCCCCCCACGCAAAACGTGCAGGACGCTTCCCTTCCCATAAAAAGAAGAGGGACCGGAAGGGAGCTCTCTCTACAGGGGGTAGAATGGTCCACCATTGCAATCTGTATGTTTTTAACCTGTTGTAAATCACCCAGTGCCCTGTTCGGTGTAGTGGTTAAGTGCGCGGACTCTAATCTGGGAGAACCGGGTTCGATTCCCCACTCCTCCACTTGCACCTGGCTGGATGACCTTGGGAAGCCATAGTTCTGTCGGAGCCCTTCTCTCAAGGACAGTTTTCTCAGATCTCTCTCAGCCCCACCAACCTCACAGGGTGTCTGTCGTGGGGAGGGGGAGGGAAAGGAGTTTGTAAGCCGCTCTGAGACTCCCGAGTGAAGGGCTGGGTAGAAATCCAATCTCTTCTTCTTCTCTTCGTCTGTGTACTCAGGGAGTGGGCAATCCAGAAATCCAATAAATAATAATAATGGCTTCCTCCCCCCCCCCTTCCCCAGGTCAGGAGACACCCCACCTCTGGACCTCTTTGGGTGCCTTCCCCCGTCAAGGTCACCGGCTCCCTCCTGTCCTCCCAGCTTGGATGCCTTCCCATAGAGAAGGGCCAGTCTCCAGCTCTCTTCCGTGGGCAACAAAAGCAGCTGTTTCTCTTCCTATTCTTTGTCCCCTGTCACTGTCACACACACACACACACACACCCTCGTGCTGCGTGGGTGTTCAGGGCCCTCCTGGACTTTGGGGAGGGGAGGCGGAGTGGGAGCGGAGTGCGGGAGTTGCTGTCCCGCCGCCGCCCCCGGACAGCCTGAACCTGCCCGCAAAAAGTGTCTGTCCAACTGCTCCGATCCATCCCATCCCAGTGCAGAGAGCCCCCTCACCCCTGCTCCGGTCCCAGCACGCCCCACTTATCCTGGAAGGGAACTATAAATGTTTGCCGTGCCAGTGCCGTGGACGTTCCCGGGGGAATTAGCCTGAGATCTGGTTTCCCTTTCAGCTTAGCAGGAGGAGGAGGAGGAGGAGGGGGGCTTCCGAAGGGCAGTGCCAGCCGGGTTTGGGGGGGGGCTGGCGGCGGCAGGGGGAGGTGACCTTCTTGCCGTCGTCATCTCCCGTTGCAGCAGGCGGGCGGGCAGGCACACAGCGTGGCCGAGCCGGCGGCGAGAGAGGATGGCAGGGTGCCTGCGTGCCCGGGGAGGAGGAGGGCTGGGATCCCGGCACCCGCCCAGCCCGCCCGCCCGCCTCTCGCTTGTGGGAGCGGTAACCGGCCAGGGGAAGGTTCTCCCCGGGAATGGAGCTTCTCCCCGCCAGTAGCTGCGGCCGGCGCCCTTCCTCGCCTTAGCTCTCAGGTGGGAAAGGAGTGGGGGCGGATCTTGGGTTTGTGTTGCATCGCCGGAGCTGCGGGCGGCTGGGAAACTTCAAATCTATTCTCGTCTGTCGTTCCCTCGCAAAGGTAGACTAAAGGACAGAGTCAAGCGAGGGCCTCTGGCAGCCCCGAGGGGTGGACATAGGGAGGCCGCGGTCCGCATTGCAGGTGGAGGGAAGATCCGAGAGATCTGCCCCACTTCGCCGGAGGTGTTCCTGTTGGGTCTCAGGCAGCAGGGATGAACCCTCCTCTCGGTGTTGATATTTGCCCTGCCTGGCTTGCAGCTGCCTCGCCCCTCTCTCCGGGTGCCGCTTGTCGGACTCTAAACGGATAAGGGACGACTTTGAGGATGGCTCTGTGAGGCTGGATTCGTAAGAGAATTGTTGGCTGTTAGAAATCTGGGGGGGGGGGTTGTCTGTTGTCTCTCTGCTTCTCCCCCCCTCCAGAGTTTCATGTATCTCCAGCACAAAACTAGTTTGATGTATTCCGATCGTGTAACTTAAACTGCACTCTTGTTTTGTTTTGTGGGACTGAAAAAACCGTGGGATGCCTGGGTGCCGTTGTCCTTGTCGCTGAGTATCCTTGGCGGTGTTCCCTCTAAGCTGAGTCAGTGTGTACTAGCTTACAGCTTTTTAGCCTCCAGCTCAGACATTTTTGTCTCAACTCAGGAAGGAGGGCTCCAGAGCAAACTAATTGATGCCGTAGCCGAATCGCTCGCTCACAACTTTAATGCCAGTAGCTCACAAAGTAGAATTCTTGCTCACAAGACTCCACAGCTTAGAGGGAACCCTGAAAAGTTGGGGCAGCCATGTCTAAGGGAGGGGTTATAAGTCTAAAAGAATGGATCGAATTGGGTATCGGCTATTGAATTGGGGTAACTTCCTAATCCTTTTGATTATTGCTATTCAGATTTTTTTTAATACAAATGCTGGGACAACTTATCTGAAAGAACAAATGGGATTTGTAGTCGGTTCAGTCAAACTATTATTGCATAGACTGGGGTGGAGAAGAGTTTGTTGCTGCTAAGAAGTACTGAATAGCACAGAGTCCCTTTTGGATGGGCAGGAATGACCGTCTCCCAAGCTTCACTCTTGCCAACTGGTCAGGAGGAGAATCGGCTGCTTCTGAGAACAACTTCAAAGGGCATAAAGCAAACGGGATACATTTGTTTCCAGAGCGTGCGTCACGTGACATATTTAGTCTGCCATCGCTAGACATTGGAACTGCTGAGTGGTGTTGCACAACTCAAGTTTGGAAACCGAGTTAAGAGGCAATATTTCTCGTTTTCGTAGCATTGCAGCCGAGCATGTAAGTCAACGTGGGCCTTCTGCAGAGGTTAACTTAGAACACTGTAGCAGTATTATGTCAGCATAACCGTGCTTGGTTGCTTGCACTTTGTAATATTGAAATTGGTGAGGGACAGATACGGTTTGTGCCTTAGGCCGGCTGCTCGGGCTGCTGGCATTCGCTTGGGAAGACGGAGGTCAGAAATGGCTTGTTTGGTAAATCGAGGTCCTAGGAGAATACTCGGATCCTATCGATTAGAACAGAGTCTGTCATTGGTGGTATAGGCAAGCGATGGCTTCCCGGTATCCTTGAAGTCCATTTAATAATTCAGAGACCAGGTAAACGTATTGGGGACAGGAAGAGACTCCGCTCTGATGTCTTTGCTCCTTCTGCAGGCGTTTTCTCCCCCTGCTTGCTGCAGTGCACATTTTAAAACCACCACACTGCAGCAACCTCCCCGCTGTGTCTCACAAGCACGTGCGTGCTTTCCAGGACCGGACTGTGGAAACCTGGAATATTTTGCCATTGCCGTCTTGCTCCAGCCCCATCTGCTGCGTCGCCACGAACAATGGTGGTGAATGATGGAAGGCAGGTATCGGGTGGGGCCAAGCAGGACAGGTTGCCCTTTGTTAGTGGAGAGAAGGTCCCCCCCCCCAGCCACATGACTGGATAACCAGAACTTGTTGATTCTCCAGTACAGACGTGAACTGAGTGCTTCGAAGATGCAAAATGCAAACAAAATCTTTGTCTTCCCGAATCCCGATCACACTTCACATGTAGAGAACACTCTCATTGTTCAAAGCACTTCACATGCATTGTCGCTTTGTCATTCTTACAGTAGCCCTGTAAGGTAGACCAGTGGAATTACCCCCGTATTGCAGATGGAGTGACTGAGGTTGAGAGGGAGAATGGCTCACTAAGGCCACTAAGCTACAGCTGCTCATGGGTGACACCAGCTTGGTGTAGTGGTTAGGAGCAGGGACTCTAATCTGGGAGAACCAGGTTTGATCCCCCACTCCTCCACATGCAGCTGCTGGTGTGACCTTGGGTCAGTCACAGTTCTCTCAGAGCTGTTCTCTCAAGGGCAGTTCTCTCAGAGCTTTCTCAGCCCCGCCTACCTCCCAGGGTGTCTGTTGTGGGGAGAGGAAGGGAAGGAGAGGGTGAGGGAGTGAAGGGTGGGGTATAAATCCAATCTCTTCGTCATCTGTACTGGAATATGGTAAGGCAAGAGGGAATAGCAGTCACCTGAAACACATTCTTCCGTGTCTCACTTCTCTTAGATTCCCAGGAGCACAAGCATTTGATTTGACTTTTTTCTAGAGTTAAGTTCTAGACAGGCCGGGGTGAGGTCTCCTAGCAGGTCTTTGGCTTCCTGTCTGCTCTACAGCCAAACGTGGCGTTTGCCAAGGTCTTGTCCGCACTGTGCTGCAAGTGAGTGGCGTGGTGCCATACCACATTGGTAGCAGAAGGTCTGCCTGCTCTGAAGGGACGGTGCAGTAGGTGTGGCGCTTGGATCAAGGCAGCAAGGTGTGTGTGGGGGGGCAATGTAACGAGTGGCTTCTGTCTACACAAGGTTTCTTTGCGTCCCCACGGCATGCCACAGGGACTTTGTGCAAAGAGCGGAGGAAGTCCTAAACTGGAATTAGATAATATCTTTTAAGGGTCACGGTGGTAGGACAGAGGCCTCTCTCTTTCTATTCATGGTATATATACTTATTTCTTTTGTCCAACTGGACAAAGTGGCTGAAGCTACAAAGCCCCGTGAACTGCCAAGCTGGTGGGAAGGGCGTGAGCACCACAAGCCATCAGGCCTCTCTCGGACCACTTTCTGATGGACTGGTGGCACAAGGGCCGCAGTGCTCCCTCTAAGCTGAGTTAGTGCGAGCCAGCTCACAGCTTTTTAGCCTCCGGCTCACGGATTTTTGTCTTGGCTCGGAGGAGGGCTCCAGAGCAAACTGATTTATGCAGCGGCCAAATTGCTCACTCACGGCTTTCATGCCAGGACAGGAGCTCACAAAGTAGAATTTTAGCTCACAGGACTCCACAGCTTAGAGGGAGCATTGAAGGGCCGGGATATTAATTCTTCTCTTGCCCCTCCCACACGGTTTCTCTCATTAGAAAATGGAAGAACCTCCCCCCACACACACACTTTCACTGCTTAAAAGATGGGGAGGGGGAGTCCAGTCCTCTTGCCCAGCATTTTGGCACCGCTCTGTATCCTCCCCACCCCACCCCCTCACCCCCTTGGATCTAAATTACCCCTCATGGATGCCTGGGTGTCTTTTGGTTTTTTAAAAAAACCCTCTGGAAGCTGCTTGCTTTCTTCCTCTTCTGGGTCTTTGGTTTGTGCTCCAGGAAGTGCTTTAAAGCGATGGTGCTGAAGTGTGCCCAGAAGAGCATCACGGCCCTCTTGAGATGAGCTTGTAAGAGCAGGTGCCGGGCACAACAGAGATGTTCTGCTTTCAGAAGCGAAGCACACTTCAGCTGAGTGCGAAGAGAGAAGGTGACCCTGTTCTTTCAACACCAGGCGTGGTTCAGAGAACATCTCTCCCGCCAATGTTCCCTCCAAGCTGTGGAGTCTTCTGAGCAGAAATTCTACTTTGTGAGCTGCTGGCATTAAAGTTGTGAGCGAGCGATATGGCTACTGCATAAATTAGCTTGCTCTGGAGCCCTCCTTCCTGAGCTAAGACAAAAATGTGTGAGCTGGAGGCTGGAAAACTGTGAGTTAGCTCACACCAACTCAGCTTAGAGGGAACACTGCTCCCCCCCTTCCTTTCTCTGAAAAGGGCTCGCCTTCTCCCCTCTCCCCCCTCCCCTCTTTTTTATTTTCTTCCTGCAAAGCACTCACTTAAAGGAACTTGCACTGGAGGGGATGTCAGAAGTGGGCTATAAATAGGCACTTTTAAAAATCCAGCCACTCAGGGCTGCTCAGAAGCACTCCGAGGGGTGGGGCACCGTTGCCGCATCTCTGAAGCCGGCAGACTGAAACCGTCTCTGATTAAATTTTCAACAGCGTTTGGGTAGCTGGAGGCAGACTGGACAGCTCCTTTCGGGATGCAGTTTTTGCGGGTGGCTCTTGCTACATGTCTAGAGTCTGCAGATGTCGCATCTTTTCGCTTCCCGTGGAACTGCTCAGAAGAGAGCTGCATTTGACCTGGCTGTTGGCAATTGAGTTATTTCAATCCAAAGCATTAAAAAAAAAAAAAACTGAAAATTTAAGAACACAAACTTGGAGATTACTTTTGCTAGTCCAAAAGCTCCGAGGAGCGTTTTCATAAATCAGCTCTTGATTTGCAGAACTGGAGAGGGGACAGGGAAAGAAGACAACCACCTAATGCTTTTTCTTCCCTTCCCCTCCCCAGCTTCACAAGGACAATTGGAACTGCTCAATTTGTGATACACAGAGCAAGGTGGTAGAGCCAGTTTGGTGTAGTGGTTAAGTGCGCGGACTCTAATCTGGGAGAACCGGGTTTGATTCCCCACTCCTCCACTTGCACCTGCTGGATGACCTTGGGCAAGCCATAGTTCTGGCACAGCTGTTCTTGAAAAAGGGCAGTTTCTTTCAGAGCTCTCTCAGCCCCACCTACCTCACAGAGTGTTATGTTGTGGGGAGGGGAAGGGAAAGAAGTTTGTAAGCCCCTCTAAGACTCCTTTGGGTAGTGAAGGGCGGGATAGAAATCCAATCTCCTCTTCTTC